ATTACTTGAAATATATCGTCAAACATATTCTCCATATTAATGGAACTATCATAAAAATATATAAAAACTCCCAAAAACAATGTCACATATACAAATGCCTTTTGGAAAAAAAATATTGACATAACCAATTAAAATTTACAATCTTTAAATAATTAAAAAAAAAATTTGCTTATTTATAAGACTCATGAATTTATCACATTTACTACCACTCAATCCAATAACACAACATAATTATAAACCCAACCACCATATTTTTAATTCACCCTATTCCCATGTAATAAATATCTCAAGCAAAAAAAAAAAATTAAAAGAACACAATATTAAATTTACAATCTTTAAACGATAAATAAAATCAATTAAATCTTACTCATTGATAAAACTCATCAATTTATCACCACTACTATCATTCAACCCCAAATAATACAATATAATTATAAATTTAATTACCAAATATTCAGAAACACGCCAGCACACATTTCTTTTTTTATTACCAACAAACTTTTCTAACCAATAACTGTTTTATTAGAAGTACAATAAGTCAAATTTTTAGATAAAATAATAATAAATTAATATTTAATTAAAAACATGGTAAAAATCAAGGGGCATCCCCTAAGTTTTGACAATATTACACGGATACTTCATGATATTTTATAAATAACATAGACACCCCCTGAGGTTTGAAATTTATTGCACGGATACCCTATTTGTTTCCCATCAGTCAATGTTACTAATGAAAATTGATAATTTCATCAAAAAAAATAATTACTTACAATTGTCCTTCTTCAAATTTAGTACAAAAAAATTAAAAATTTAATAAAATCAAATAAAAATTGATTTAATAAAAAATTGATATAATTTAATAATCCAAAAAATTGATTAAATAAATTTAATATTAATTTGATAACAATAAAAATTAATTTGATATTAATTCGACAAAGTTGGACATAAATTAGACAAAATTAAATCAATTTTTGATAAAATTATATATTAATTTAAAATGTAAGGTTCATTGGGAATTAAATATTATTTAGTGTTTATTTTTTATTTACATTAAGTGTTATTTACATGTCGTTAGATATATAAAAACGTTGAATTAGTATAATGAAATAAATAATTGCATAACATATAATTTCATCTGATTTATGGGGTTAAATAATTAAAAAAAAATAAGGCAAAAAAAAGATAATAGCATGAGGGAGAGAGAGTTATATGAGAAATGAGAGTTTTAGAGTTATAAAGAATAAAAGTCTAATTAGGACCATTGAATCAAAATGATCTGAACCGTNAATAAGGCAAAAAAAAAATAATAGCATGAGAGAGAGAGAGAGTTATATGAGAGATAAGAGTGTTAGAGTTAAGTCCAATTATAAACATCATATCAATATTTATGAGATGATCTGAACCATCGTTTATGTTGGGATTATATTGTTTGTTGTCTGTTGGATGTGTTTGTGATTTATTTCAAAACGATCTGGACATTTCTTTGTCTCTGGATTGAAACTCAGTTCTACTTTATTATATAGTTATTCAATACTTCAAGACAAAAATAATTCAATTAAAATATTAAGGACTAAAATAAAACAAACATCATACTTTATGGACATCTCATACAATTAACTCTTAATAGTTTTTAATTCTTAGAATATTAAAAAAAAAAGGGTAATTTAGAAATCGATACAAAAATTTAGACTTATTTGAGCTAAACTGTTTTAAGAAAATTTATTTGGTCATAAGTGCATTTTTTTTTGAAAAAAAGACTAAAAGAGTATTTATTATTCCATTACTCTCTCTCCTACTCTTTCACTATCTCTTCCCTATTTTCTTTCTATCTATTTTTCTCTCTCTCTTTCTCTCATATTCATAAAAAATTTAAATATATAAAGATTTGATTTAATTTTTTATCTCTCTCCCCCCTAATTTTTTTTCTTTCTCTCTCTTCCAGTATTTCATTATTCTCTCCTTTTTTTTTTCTCTTCTTATATCAACGTTACACAACACAATTACACTAATTAGTTATAATTACCCTATAATACACTAAACAATTATTCATTAGTTCTAATAAATCAAACAGTTACACTAAATAATTATACGAAATTATAATACCAACTCAATTTGTCATTTAGCTATTTATATAAATTAAAGAGTTACATCATTTAGTATCATGATATGGTTACACCAATAATATACATCAAATTGGATTTATCATTACATAAAAGACTTTGTCATTATACTAAATTTGGTATATATGATTGGTGTAACGATGTTGCGACACTAAATAGTGCAATTATTTAGTTTATGTAAACAACTGAATGACAAATTGAGTTGGTGGTATAAATTTGTATAATTTTTTGGTTTATTAGAACACATAAATAACTGTTTAGTGTATTATAAAACAATTGTAACTGATTGGTGTAAATGATTTGTGTAATTGTGTTGTTGTAATGTTGATATAAATAGAGAGAGAAAAAGAAAATAAGTAGAGAGAGATTAAAAAAAAATAGATGAGAGATAGTGAGAGAATCTAACGAAATCTTTACATATTTAATTAGATATATAACTGTCAATCAATAATGCACAATTTAAAGGAGGTTATTTAGGTAAAACAGTTTTAATTTTATTTGAATTTTATACTTAAATACAATATATTTTATTAAAATTAAACTTAATAAAATAAATAATTTATACATACATTTTTTTCTCAAATAAATTTAAAATATTATACCCGCAGCCAAAAAAATCCCAAAAAAATTAAAGCATGATACTGGTCCATGGGGTATGGACATCATGTGAAGGACCATTTTGGCATTTTCAGTGTCTTGACAGGAGCTATATACCACTAGGCTGCAGTCCCGCCACATTTCGAGCCCAAAATATCTTTTGCCATGAAGTGGCAGTTAGGTCTGAGATATTTTCTCGCAAAATATCATGCCACGTGTTCATCACTAGACCGACGCAGACTTGGTTCATTTCTTTTTGGTCTCAAGTATCTCTTTAATTACAAGAACACCACTTCCTTGTCTATCTATTCGGTGAAGACAGAGGACGAGCTATATGATGTTGGAAATATTAGCTTGAAATAATGGTTAATTAGCTTGATCCACATATATGCTATAAAAGGGATGTCAATGTTATTATTAGGGGCCGTGTGTGTTTAAGTTGATAATATTTTACCCCCGAGTACGGTGGTCTAATGGAGTATCGATTAAACTTCTCATTTTGAGGTTGAATGTTCTAGTCTTAGGGTTCACATTATGGCTCGATGGTTGACCATTACATTAGCCTAATTAAGTTCGTTCCCGAGAAGTGTAACGAATACAGTCAGAGATTTCATGATCTCACCAATAAAAACTTATTAGAGTGGTCTATGAGTGTTCTCGTGTGCCTCCAACCCTTTCTTAAATAAAAAAAAAAAGGTTGATAATATTTTAATAATATAAATAATAATAAAAGGAGTTTAGAGATTCCAAAGCATATTTTAAAAATGTGAGTCTTGTATTTCTATAGGATGAATGCCTTATGATTTATATACACTAATTGACGTTGGTGGGTAATCTTCATAAGAAATAAAACTAATTGATGTTACTTTTTTAATTTGTAGAAATATGCAGTTATAAATTAGGTGATAATAATTCGTTAGATATAATAATCTTTTTTTAATGAACTTTGAATGGTTTCTTGCGACTTGAGTCAGCATGCATTGAGTTGTTAATTGGTTAAAAATACACGATCTATATTAAACATAAAAATTGTTAAGGCTAGGGTGGCGAATATAATACACTTTAAAACCTTGTCTAAAGAGTGAAAACAAAAACTCAAGTTCTATCTTTTGTTTGAAATAATTAAAGGTTAAATTCTCTTTCCATAGCATACATATACATGCACACCTATCGATTCAAGAAGTTTGGAATAATTAATTGGGTATAATAGTTATCGATTCTCTCTTTTGAGAAGGATTTGAACAGTTTTTTTTTACCACGAACCATAACTTACAGACATATGATTAATTTTTTATTTAAATAAATAAGTTAACATGAATTAGATTGTGTCATATAAGATTTATCTAGTCAAAAGTTGAATTTTGGTGGATTTTAAATATTTTGATAGAAGCACTTCAATAGTAAAACATGGATGTTAAACAAATAATCTAAATATTAGCTTGTTTAATTTGTCGATTGACTATTACTAGCAATTCGGACTCATTTAGGCGAGTTGTAGTTTATAATCCGAACCGAAAACAAATTTTTGGAGTTAGTTCATCCTCAAGAGATCGCGACATTTTATTTCGGCCATTGTAACACATCTAATAATAATCTAGAGAGAGTATGACTCAATTCTTATCCCATACTACCCTCTCTAACAACCATATGTGTTTCTCTTTTTTAAAGTTTTTTTCTTCACTTATAATATCAATATAACACTCAAACAAATTATATATTAAAAAAAGAAGTTCTTTCTAACTCATTAAGAATACAAAATTCCTTATCAAAATGTGTCACCACTACTAACCTAATCCTAGGTTTCCCATATTACTCTGTGTAATATTATATTGACTTAAAAATTAGACTTGATAATTATAATTATTAATTTTTTTGTGGGTCCCAGTATTTATTTGAATTCATTACCTATTCAATGATTGTGATTATCAAATTTATTTTTTAAATCTAATTTTTAAGCCGATGCAGCATTAGTCTATTAATTAATGACCATCCCACTTCTAATTGGCCGGCAAAGACTGATAATAAACATATTCTTTTACCAAAAGAAAAAGGCTGATAATGACAAATAATTTTGTTTTAAGTGAAAAAAATCTAACAGCCCATGATTAATAAATTAATTATCCACCCAGGACACTTTCGTAATATAATTCCCCAATTCGCCCATTTTCAATTATCCTTTTCGAACATATCTCTTGCTCTGCTCAAAGAATCTATAGATACAAAACAAACCAATTAGTCTACAGAGAAAAGACTCCATAGATCGAGAGAGAGAGGGAGGGTAATATGGGTGTGGAGCAAGATGAACACGAAGGAGAGTTCGAGAGGTGTGAGAAGAGGCTGAAATGCTTCGGGGGTGAAGAACTTTCAGAAGATGAGAGAGGGGGTAAGCTACCGTTACAGTCGGGTGATTTCTTCTTCTACCCGATGGTGCCGTCTTCGATTGTTGTTTCCGACGCTTTAGAACCTGATTTTCCCATTATTTACGTTAACACCGTCTTCGAAATGTTCACTGGGTATCGCGCCCACGAAGTTCTTGGCCGAAACTGGTAAAAAAATTACTTATATTTATGTTGTGAATATATAAATTTGTGTCTGTGTATCAGCTTTTTGTATATGTACATGTTTGTTGCTGCTCCACCAGTTATGAATTTCAGGTAAGCTCTGATCAGATACAATTGTAGGCAGATAAAGTTTAAATGTAACTGTACATGATTTTTCTTCCCTTTCTTAATTTTTACATCTTTTATAGTTTTTATTTCTCTGCCTTGAATGAGGGGGCTTTTGATGAGAAATATATGATAAAAGTGTAGCTGTCGTTTGTTTTAGTATTTTTTTTGTTTTTCTGTTTTTTAAGTATTGTTTAAGTCAGCATTATTTTCCTTATCCGGGTTGGTTTAATTCAAAGAGATTAAGCTCATCCTAAATATAACAATGTAGTTGGCTTGGGTGAGTCCCAAAATCCCATCCCAATTTTCTTGAATTTTGTATTTTTCAGATTTATATTGGATCGTATCAACTTACTCGCACCTTTAGCGGATTTATGACGTATAGCATAAACTAAATGACCAGATTTTGGAAAACCCAATAAGATACCATACACTGCATTTGCTAATATAGAGGTGGTGGGGCTGCAGCTAAATGCTAATAATAGGAACTAAGCTAGATGGTTTTCAAGAACCAACGGGCTAAATTTTATCCTACCAGAGTCCATAAGTGGGTCCGTCCATCTGTTTACTAAATTTCTTTTTGTGTGACAAAATCTCCTCAATTTGATGGAAGAGTACAGCTTTAACTAAACTTGCATTTAGGATTGGGCAGGATTGAATGATGGATCTAATTTATTCATTGGGTAAACCCAACGTGATGTATCAAATAGAGGATAAGGATTCTGCATAATGGGGATTTTTGACTTATTCTATACGGGTTAATTTAGACTTTGATTGTTGGGGCAATTGGGAGTACGAAAACGTCCTGATAAAGTTACGTGATCACCTTTCTGCTCCAATTCTCATGTCCATGGGATACAAGTGGCTTTCCCCTTCTTGTTGAGGAATAGTTTTATAAGGGTTTCTTTAATAAATTTATCAGCTTTGTAAACTGGAAATAATATGGTTATAAATTCTCGAGGTTGAAAAGGATCTGTTGAATGCAAAAAGAATGCTGCTTTAGAGCAAGAATAGAAGAAATCTCATTTAAGTAACGGAATCAATAACTTGCAGGATCAAACCAATTGAAGACAAGGGGAAGGATTTTACGGGAGTTCTATCTAACGAAAGACCAACAGTGTGGGATTTGCAAAAATTAAACTGGTCACTTTGAGTATATTTTTCTAGACATTTTCCTTTGATTTAGTGGAATTTTCTGTATGTATTCCTGCAGTGATGCAATGGTTTTCTTCCTATCTTCCGTTGGTTACTTGGTTTTTTTTACTAGAGAGTTCCTCCACAATTTTTTCGTTCACAGAGTGAATCCCTGATGGTTGAGAGATGATCCCTTGGTTCCATTTTTTATTTTAATTCCATTAAAATATCAATGCTATTTTGAAAGTTTGAACAGAGTAATTTTATAAACCTGAACCACGTATCCTCTGCAAAGACTCAAAAGAACCCTGATATGTACTGTGCTTTAATTTTTGGATATGTATACCTCCTGAAATTGATTTTTTTAATATTCCTGTGGATTATTTCTGAGTTCTCTGCATATGAAATGCAGATTTTTGTTGAGGTGCACAAGCAAATCTAGATTAGGGATATGAAATTCATATCTGTAACTATGATTCAATCCACAGTTTTGATATCACGCTCTGTACTTTTTTCTTTGAACTGTATGCTACTATATACTTTCAAAATTCTAAAAATTTAAAGGTTCTTTCTTGTCTCATTCTGGAAATCTTTTGTTTTAGCCGGTTCTTGCAATATAGAGACCCTCATGCCCAAAGAAGACATCCACTTGTTGATCCTGTTGTTGTTTCCGAGATTAGAAGGTGTCTTGAGGAAGGCATTGGATTTCAAGGTGAGCTTCTCAACTTCAGGAAGGATGGTACTCCACTGGTGAACAGGCTAAGACTTGCGCCAATTCATGGTGATGATGGCACAATTACACATGTAATTGGTATTCAAGTGTTTTCTGAAGCAAAAACAGATCTCAATAGTGTATCATATCCAGTGTTCAAAGAAAGTTGCCAGCAGCAATTTGATCAGACGGGTTACTACTCTCCAAAGAGTGGACAATTACAGCATAGCAGGCATGAAGAAATATGTGGGATTCTTCAGCTCTCCGATGAAGTACTGGCTCAGAACATTTTATCACGCTTGACACCAAGAGATGTCGCATCCATTGGATCTGTCTGCAGAAGGATCTGTCAATTGACAAAGAATGAGCATCTAAGGAAGATGGTATGCCAAAATGCATGGGGAAGAGAAGTCACAGGTGCACTGGAACTGATGACGAAGAAGAAATTAGGGTGGGGTCGTCTTGCTAGGGAACTGACCACTCTTGAAGCTGTTTGTTGGAAGAAGCTTACAGTTGGAGGTGCAGTGGAGCCTTCACGTTGCAATTTCAGTGCATGTGCTGCGGGAAATCGACTTGTATTGTTTGGAGGGGAGGGGGTTAACATGCAACCCATGGATGACACGTTTGTTCTTAATCTTGATGCTGCAAATCCAGAATGGCGTCGTGTGAGTGTCAAATCATCCCCACCAGGGCGCTGGGGTCATACTCTCTCCTGCTTGAATGGTTCCTGGTTGGTGGTATTTGGTGGCTATGGCAGGCAGGGATTGCTAAATGACGTGTTTGTTCTGGACTTAGATGCCAAACAGCCAACATGGAAAGAAGTCTCTGGTGGAACTCCCCCCCTTCCTAGATCCTGGCATAGCTCTTGCACAGTAGAAGGCTCAAAGTTGGTTGTTTCAGGTGGTTGCACAGATGCGGGAGTGCTGCTTAGGGACACATATTTGTTGGATCTCACCATAGAGAAACCCATTTGGAAAGAGATTCCAACTTCATGGGCTCCTCCCTCTAGATTGGGACACTCACTCTCGGTTTATGGAAGGACAAAAATTTTGATGTTTGGTGGGCTTGCCAAGAGTGGACACTTGCGGCTACGGTCTGGTGACGCATACACCATTGATTTGGAGGATGAAAAGCCACAATGGAGGCAGTTGGAATGTGGTGCATTTACTGGTGTAGGTAGCCAGAGTGCTGTGGTTCCTCCTCCTAGACTGGATCATGTTGCTGTAAGCATGCCTTGCGGGCGGATCATCATTTTTGGTGGTTCTATTGCTGGGCTGCACTCTCCCTCTCAGCTTTTTTTGTTGGATCCTGCTGAGGAGAAACCGTCATGGAGGATTCTCAATGTTCCTGGGCAACCTCCAAAATTTGCTTGGGGTCACAGCACCTGCGTGGTTGGAGGTACCAGAGTTTTGGTCCTAGGTGGGCACACTGGGGAAGAATGGATCCTTAATGAATTGCATGAGTTGTGCCTAGCTAGCAGACAGGACTCAGATCCATGATATAATCACTAGCTGCAACATTGTACTATTCTGGAAGAAGATTCTTTTCTTCAGGATTGTGCTAGTCGATGTTTCAGGTTCTATGTTGATTCTATTTGCTGATATGTTTCCACTGATGAATGATGCACGGCTTGGTTTGGTACCATAATTTGTTGTATTAAGACACCATAATATTACCTCTTTAGGACAGGCATATGATGTGTACAGTGTCTGTGTATCTTCAATTTGTAGTTCATCCTTTCAATAGAGTAACACGTTTTGATTCCCTTTCTGGTGTGTAGTTCATCCTTTTAATGCATGTTCATGTACATGCATACAGTACATTTTGTTGGCTGCTGCGCTTGTTACGCTTTACATTCCTAAATTTCTTTTTGTGCTTACTGCAAGTTATCTTGATCTGTTCAGACCTACTTTGGTTTCCCTGTTAATTAGAGATTCTTTATTGTCACTTTGCCGTTGCACAACTTTTGCCAAGGGGGAAAAAAAAATCCCTAGTGCAGCTTTTTGGACCAGTGGATTGACTCCAGTTGAAGTAAACCTAGAGAGCATTGGTTAGGCATTGTAAAAACGGCTCTATGGAGACTTTGGTGAACTGATGCACTGAATGTGTTGGTCATGAACCATAGGCTTCATTTTGTTGGACGTTTTCTTGCACTCATGCTGCTAACAAACAGACTGCAATACAGAGAAGTTGTTTCCCTCTATGCTTCTATAAGTGTTATTTTCTCTATTTATTCCAGAAATTTATCTATCGTTTGACCTCCGACAAGTGTTTGGGACTACATGATGCCCCTAAAGTTTGATCTTTTGCCCTCAGGATTGGCTCTAGAAACACTAGATTGAAAGCATTTGGTCCAAGCAAGTTATTTTTGAAGTTTTATTTTCTCTGTGAAGTGATGGCTATTTCATTATATGGAGATGGAGGATGTCAAAAATTAAGATGATGTAGGAATTGTACATCACTAAAGGGATCCCCTTGTTTCATTATGGTTATACATTTCATTTTCCTATCCTATCCGATTTGGATTTTGATATCTGAAAAAGAATCGACTTCATTCGACCTTCAATTCAAAGAACTGCGCTTACCCCCCCCCCCTCCATGAAACGGCTCTGCTGCATTAGATGGTAGAGAGTCCGTAGTACCCGAAGCACTAGAGTGATCCAGTAGCTGGGAAGGGGCATAAAAGTGCCTACTATTGCATCTCACTACACTTGGCTCTAAGTATCATTCTTGAAATGTTGTTTTGATATTCCCTTTGATTATAGAATTTTAAAAACTGTTCAACTCATACTAAACTTTTTTATAATTAATCTTGTACTATCGAGTTCGTATTAACTATTTCGCGTTGATCTATTTATGGTCCACTAGCATACCATTAAAACCCGCTAAGACTAAACTTATGTGTCACGTGTTGATCAATTATATATTATATGTCGTTTTCATGTTGTGTATGTGGATCATATATAGAATTACCTATGTTAAAATCATTCCAGATGTTGCAATCACTGTTTCAGCGCAAGTTGACACCATCCATGGTTGCAGTACCATTGGCCCGCATTCCATCCAGTTCCATTGTTGGACGGTGGCTTCAATTCGAGAGATACGACGCCGACGTTGCACCAGAATACAGAAAGAAGGAAACATGCCAAAAACACGACTTCTTTTTTTTCCAAGAAAAAAAGACTTCTGTTCAAATCTGATCTTTTGGTGAATTACTCTTAACCTTTTCATGAAAATGATTTTTAAATATCAAAATGTGATTCGAAAACATAGATTGAGTCACATATTAATCCAATTTGAGCAACACTCCTTAGTGCTCAGTAGGTCAAGTCTTTGCTTAAAATTTAGTAGGTACCGCGCTTGCCCTCCAAAGGGTATTTTCACGAGTGCTCCCAAACGTAAGAGAATAGTAATCATGTAGTAACTTGAATAGAAGTCCAAGGTCGTCTCCTTGAGAAAGATTTGTAATCCAAGGTGATCGAAAATAAAAAAAAAATTCTTTGAAATTTGAGAGTTTGGAAACTAACTACTAATGAAATTCAATAATTGGGAAAGCTACATAACCTTCAGAATTATTTCCACCTATGAACAAGAATTTCTACTCTAAATCTATAACTCATCTGCTTTAGTATTCAAACTAGTACAAAAGAATGATTTTCAATTAAAAACTTTGGAAGAATTAAAAATAACAATTGAAAGATAATTTATGATGAAAGAATCAATATTCTAAAAGTTGCAGAAAATACCACTAACTATCTATCTAAAACCAATTGCATATAGGTAATCGGAAAGTATGCAAACCAATTAGGTTTTCAAAAGCATAACCTATTCAAATAATTGCATAAACATTAAAACCTTAGTTTAGAGCATAAACACTAGTCCATAGGTTGAGACTCATTTTTTTCAAATTATTCAGAGAAAGACTACTCACTCATGATAATGTAAACAATAAAAAATATTAAAGAAAACATAATTAAATTCAGAGAAGTAAAGATTGGCTTGAAAGTAAGTAAAACCTGAATGTAAAAGAATACATTTGAATTGAAATAAATGTTAGAACATTGGTCATATGAAATTGAATCGACATGAATTGAAAGACAATACTCTTAAAAACTAAAGTAGATTGCTAGAGAACTTAGGAAGAAAACTAGAGCAACAAAGAACTATTTTAAGAGAGCAAAGAAAAATTTAAGAACAATTGATCGATGATTTCCTCTTCACAAGACCCTTTATTTATTGTGTATGGAAGGTAGGTCTTCAATATCTTTGTGCGTATCTTCCCCTAAAATATCTCCTCTCTCCATTGGTAGAGAATCCTCAAAAGATTTGGTAAAATCAGACTTGAATTAGAGTTTTCCATCAAAATCTATCCCGACCTACCAGTAGAACGTTGACACCAACCGATAGAACCATATTCTGCTTCACGATATTCCGGTAGAACCTTGATAACCTATCGGTAGAACCAATTCCAGAGGACTCTACTACTGGTAGAATACATATCCACCTACTGGTAGAATCAACTCCAGTGAGCCTTTCTTCCGGTAGAATACATCTTCATCTTCCAGTAGGTTTATGCATTGTTTTCTCACCTACCGGTAGAATACTACTGTCTACCGATAGTTCCTTCATTCTAGTACACTCCTACCAGTTGGTTTACTACCGGTAGAACCTACTTTTCCTCAATTTCTCCTCCAAAGCTTCTTGGACCTCTTCTAAAGCCATTATCATGATGCTCAAAGTCTACCATTACACCTAAACTACCTGAAAACATGAAATTATTGTATTAAACGCAAAAACACACTAATTAAGTCAAGTTAGTCGACTAACAAGCATAAAGTGAGAATGTTAGGCTATAAAATAATGCAAGAATGAGCACTCAACATACCTCCCTCTACTCGCTTGCCTTTGACTAGAGCGGTCTCTGAACACCTGGGGAAAAATTGGAGAAGACTAACAAGTTGGACAATGGAGACCACTCTCTAGGATGCACGAGCGACCTATAGATGGCTCAAGTGGTTCTAAGACTGCTCAATCAGTCTATGCTCTTTTCAAATGGATTGAATTATTTTCTCATTCTAGTACTAACCACCCTCCCACTGCCCTCTGACGACTTAAGCGGTCCTTTGTGATTTTATATTTCTTTGGACCCCAAGACAAACCTAATTGTGGACTTATAAATTAGGTAAACCTCTCCGAGCTAGGGTAACTCTCTAATACTCTTCAATTCTTCCTCTTAAACATTTAAAAAGCTAAGAACAACCCTAGATCCCTAAGATCCAAATGTCAAACCATCTTGATATTTCCTGTTCAACATCACACATTGAAGAAGATCATCTTGCTTGGTGTTCCACCTAAACCCACACTGTAAGATGGCTCGAGCAGTCTTTACTATTTTCGACTAGATTGAATATTTTTCTCATTCTAGTACCAACTACCCTCCCACCACTCTCCGATGGCTCAAGTAATCCTTCACGATGTGTTATCTTGGACCCCAAGACAAAACTAATTGCGGACCTATGAGTAGGGTAAGCCTCTCCAAGCTAGGTTTGACACTTTGTGACAAAAAATGGGAGAATATTTTGGGTACAAATGGGAGAATTCGGGGAGATACTCTCTTGATTAGCTTAGGTGAGTTGCATGTGAGAGAAAGGGAAAGTTTGTTCGAATACTCAAGGGGAGTACATTTACAAACTTGACATGAAGTCACATATTTTACACTTGTTTATTTATACTTGTGAACACTGACTAAAGGGGAGAACTAGTTGTGCATACTTGCGATTATGTTATGTCTTTCATACATATTATGTTTTTCACAAGGTATTGGTTTAGTGGTGATGTTCATGACTATGATCTCTAAAGCTAGATCTAGAAGATAGTTCTTGTAGTTAGAGATTAGGGACTTATACATTGGTGTTGAGATTTTTTTACAATTCGTTTATTCAATGGTTTATGAGTTGTAATATTAATTTCTTACTTATGTATTTTGTCATGAAATTGTCAAAGGGAGAAATTGTTAGATCATGTTTTATAATTAGCTAATTTCGTAAAATGCTTGTAATTTTGAACCTATTTTATGGTTATGATATTACAACAATGAAGATTCGAAAACATTATTTGAAGGGAGGAGATCATGCATTAAAACTATAACCAAAGGACTCCGTATGCACCTTCTTGCTTAGGACAAGGTAATGACCTACATGCCTAAGATAATTCTTTGGTTTAATAGATTTAGGAGGATTAGTGTTAAAATGAAATCGATAATTTATCCGAGTATGACTCATATGTGTTGTTCAAAGAAAAGATTTTCTAAACCTTTTGTGTGTTTTTTTTAACATATATTTGAGTCATCATTAGACCTTCTTGAGAACACCTTTTAGTGCTCAAGAAGTCAGATTTTTTGCTTGATTTTAGGCTCAAAAAATCAGAAGGGACCACCCTATGTTCGGTAGCCTTCGTTAGAGCAGTCTCTTCATGACTTAGGAAAAAATGGGGCAAATAAAAAATGGAGGAGTAACAGATGTCGCCCTTTGAGTCGCTTGAGAAGTCGTTCGCAAATTTGTGTTTGCTTGGCCTCCAAGATTAACCCTATTCCGAGCCTATAAATAAAGGGAGTCTTTTCCAACTTAGGGTGTCTCTTTTGTGATCTAAATTCTTATCTTTTAAATCTATAAGATCATACCACAACCGTAGATCCCTAAATCCTAAGACACCATTTAGTGATTCCTACCCAACATCACACCTTAGAGAATAAGAACTTGCTTGGTTGAAGACCCAATCTACTAGCAAGTGTGCATATCGAGGATCTTAGCGAAAAAGATCACTCGAGGCCTAGAGGATCGATTGCAGTGGAGAATCCATGAACTTATCCAAGACATTAGTGGGTGTATCCGATGAAGAGGCTTATTGAAGGAAAGGAGCGTTTAACCATGGTGTTGGTTGAGGTATAAGACTCGAGTACTTGTAAGCTAACTTTAAGATATTGGATTAGGCTTTTAGTGAACTCCGAGTGGTTCCCCACAATTTTTTTCCAAATAAGATTTTCTGTGTCAACAAATCACTTGTGTTAATTATTACTTTCTTATATACACTTTTGCTTTGATGTACACAAGTGCACTATATTATTGATTGAATATATTTATCATCTATAGTTGCATGTCAAGAGTTGGGATTGCTATGAGTGATTGAGTATTTGTGCATTTAATTGACAAATTAACAACATTAATCTTCATGAGCTTAAAGGGTCATGGTGTATAAAAATGGGTTCTCACTATTAATCGGTTAATCTTTGTGAGAAGAGATAATTGAAGTAGATATGAGTTTAATTTGGTGGTTGTCTAAACTTAAAGTTTAAAAATCTATTCACTCACCCTCTAGGTAGTGTCGTGCAATCCATGTGTATAATCGTGAGAGAAGATGCACTCCATATCTCCCTAAGATCCAAAGGTCAAACCATCTTGAAATTTCCTATTCAACATCACACATTGAAGAAGATCATCTTACTTGGTGTTCCACCTAAACCCACATTGTGAGATGGCTTGAGTGGTCTCTACTATTTTCGATTGGATTGAATCATTTTCTCATTCTAGTACCAATTGCCCTCCCACTGTTCTTCGATGGCTCAAGTAATCCTTCACGACGTGTTATATTGGACCCCAAGACAAAACTAATTGTGGACTTATGAATAGGGTAAGCCTCTCCGGGCTAGGTTTGACACTTTGTGACGAAAAGGGGAAAATATTTTGGGTACAAATGGGAGAATTCGGGGAGATATTCTCTTGATTTGCTTAGGTGAGTTGCATGTGAGAGAGAGTAAGAGAAAGTTTGTTCTAATACTCAAGGGGAGTACATTTACAAACTTGCCATGAAGTTACCTATTTTTTACTTGTTATTTTACTTGTGAACACCAACTAAAGGAGAGAATTAGTTGTGCATACCTGTGATTATGTTATGTCTTGCATACACATTATGTTTTTCACAAGAGATTGATTTAGTAGTGATGTGCATGACTATGATCTCTAAAGCTAGATCTAGAAGATAGTTCTTAAACTTAGAGATTAGGGACTTATACACTGGTGTTGAGATTTTTTTACTATTCGTTTTGATCAATGGTATGTGAGTTATAATATTAATTTTTTACCTGTGTATTTTGTCATGAAATTGTTAAAGGAAGAAATTGTTAGATCATATGTTATAATTAGCT